CTGAGGAAAAGAATTTGATTAACATTCCTTAAACATAAAACATGTCGTATCGTATGGGAAAAAAAAAAAAAGAAAGATATCGTATCTTATTGAGAAAAGAATGGGAAAGAGCTGAGATTTTCTATTTAACTTTTTTTTAAGAGGACACGTTTTTCATAATATATTAATTTTTACAAAACATTGAAATATATTTTAACTATTACAGAATTGTGATGAGAACTAAATTTTATTTTGCACTAATTTATGTTGATAAAAATGGTTTTGAGGTATAACATCCAATGTACCATATCATGTCAAATGAATTTTCTTCTCGAAATACTCACTAACGTTTGACAAAACTTTTTAAAATTCTAAACATGTATACTTATATAAAAAATCATCTCATTATTAAAATTAGTATGAAGAAAAGTCAAATGGAATTAATTGCACACCATATTTAAAATATTTTTTGATTTTTTAAATCATAAAATATGGTAGCATTAAATGTCCCTAAAATTATAATAGTTTTGTTGAATTCATTTTTTAAAATTTTGGCATATATTGAAGTGAAAAATTCAAAACCTCTTCTCATTTTATTTTTAATAAAATATGCATCTAAAATTACGTGTGGTTTTGAAATGAAAATTTGAAATTCAAAATCTCTTCTCATTTTAGTTACAAGAAAATCGGGATGCATTCAAAACTTGGACTAATTTAAACATTATTCCTTAGATGAAGGAATTCATAGATAATTGGTATCTCTACTCCACATGATTATTTTCAATATAAAAAGAGACAGATTACAAATTAGTGAATCATATATTACCTAATTCAATATATTAACGTTAAAGAATAAATCCATAGTATTATGTAAATCCGTATCATTACTATATTATTAAGAATATATTATAGTTATATTATCAAATTATGAAAAGATATTAAATCCATATTGTAAAAAAAATCATATAATTTTATAACAATTCTACTACACTATTTAACAGTATTTCTTTTTATAAATAATGATACTATAACTTTTATAAATATTAATGATACTATATGACAACAAATTTTGTAATAAAATAATAATTAAGTATTATATGGTGAATAAGAATAAGCAAAATTGTTATTTTTCCTTATCAAGAAATAAATATATATACTAAAATCAAATTTATATTAGTATAAATGTGTTAGTGGGATAATATTAATTATTATACAAGTTAGCCTAATATGCTCATATTTAATGTTATGACTAAAAAAACAACGCTGATTAAAGTGGAAAATAGATTATAACTCTATTGTTTTTTAGACTTAACGATGATTGAAAGAGGTCGAAAATAGATGCTAACTCTATTGTTTTTTAAACTTAAATGAACAGAGCGCGTGAAAATAACTCATTAAATATTTGTGTCCCGTGCATCGCACGGGATACGTACTAGTTTACTGAAAAGTGAAAACGTTTCTCTATTTTCTATCAAATATTAACTAATTTGTGATAATAATAATAATAATATTAGTAAATATTTTTAACTTTTAAATTTTTATAATTTCTTTATTTTTGTGATTCAGTTAGAACATGTACAACATAGTTTATCATTATGTCACTTCGTTTTTTTACACGATAAATATATATTGAAAAATCAATAAACTTTGACTAAGCTAATATATACTGCATTACTGTGTTTTTATTTTAATAATATATTATAATAATAAAGTATAAATACATAAATGAAAATTTTGGTGTACGATGATATATTTTGAACCATTCTAATCAATTTCTTCCAATTTTCTCCCGCGCTCAAGTGGGACATCCTTTCCAACGGCGGTCTCGTTCAAGAAATGGCCCACATCGCCAATGGCCGTGACCCGGGAAACTCCGTCACCTTGCTTCGAGTCAACGTAAGTCAATGGGTCGGAGCCCATTTCTTCATAACATTTCAATCTATCTGCAGTCATTACTCATCAAATTTTGTTCCGGTAGATTAACATACACTCGTGTGCATATGCATGTGTTGATCTAACAGTAAAAAACTCAATAACTCGAAAAAAATGCTAGAAGTACATAATAAATGTACATGGAGTGGGTTCCACTTGATTTTTTAATTTTGGTAGGTCCCACTAAATATGAATGTTATGTACACCCCTATGTACAATATTGTACCTATAACATTACTCATAACTCTCTCACCGATTTTTTTTAAAGAGCGATAACCGTACTTGATACGTGCATGCAGAGCGCGAACTCGAGCCAGAGCAACATGTTGATACTCCAAGAGAGTTGCGTGGACCCCACGGGCTCGTACGTGATCTACGCCCCAGTCGACATCATCGCCATGAACGCTGTCCTCAGCGGCGGTGACCCGGACTATGTGGCCCTCCTCCCATCGGGCTTCGCCATACTGCCCGATGGGCCGGGTGGCGGGCCGGGCACGGGCTCTGAAGTCGGGTCTGGTGGGTCCCTGTTGACTGTCGCATTCCAGATACTGGTCGACTCGGTCCCGACCGCTAAGCTCTCCTTGGGTTCGGTGGCGACGGTCAACAGCCTTATCAAGTGCACAGTCGAGAGGATTAAGGGCGCCGTTTTGTGCGAAGCCTCGTGAAATGACCAAAAGGATCATCTTGTTCGAGTAATGTATTTGGAGTTTCGAAAATGAATTGTTGTTATTTGTTGTGGTCGTGATCCTTGCCGTGTGGTGAATGAATCAGAGAAGGGAAGGGTAAATCTGGACTTTCACCAGCCTGCAAGGGTTTAGCTTTTTCTTCTTTTTTCCGGTCAGATATTGACTCTGCCGGCCAGTTCATTTTAATATCAAAGCAAATGAAAGACTTTGAATTAGTCATTTGCAATTTTGTATTAGACTTGAGTACTTGAACATGTCTTCTGGTTTTGTTAATAAGTCATTTGTAATTTGTATTAGACTTGAGTACTTGAACATGTCTTTTGGTTTTGTTTAAGCGTGTCTAATGATGGGCTGTTTTGTCTTTTCACTGGGTGTGATTAGTTGCTAACCACTGCATATGAAGTATGAATTGTTTTCATACGAATGAGTTGTTTTTGTTCAGATGCATATCTGGCCACATATTTCTTTGCGTATAAAAGCTTGATTACTCAACACAGTGTTAGGAAAGACCCAAATTCAAAGGGAAGGCCTTCACACAACAATAACAACAGGCTATGATAACCGAACACAATAGTATGTCGAATTCGGTAACAAGAACAGAAGAGTTATGAAAATGCGCAAAATTCTGCATTTGTGGCGAACAATCTGAAAAAAAAATAGTATATCTAGTTTCTCGAGGGATGTTACAGTTCAATAAATCTAGCGAATACCCTTATAATCGAGTGTGAGAACAAATGAGAAAGAGAGAGAGTCGAGCGTAGTCTACACTCAAAAGGGCAATGTAATCGAAGATTCAGATACAAATACAAAAAGACGATGCTTCTTTTTTCAATCATAACCTCAATAATACAAGACAATCACCTTCCTTACAGCCAAGATATATCAACCAAAAACAGCACACACCATCAGTCAAAACACATTAACCAGAAAATTCACTCCCGAAAACCAAACTAGCTTCGACTCATTCCTACCACATCCAATACCAAAACACATATACTGATATAAATCCACACACAGTCCAATACTTGGAAAAAAAAATCCATTAAAAAGAAACATGAAAACCCAAATATACTCGCTTATTTACACCGTCGCCCCAAAAAAACAAAAAAGCCCAACAAGCAAAATCATGTACCGGCATTCGGCAAGGCAGCCATGAACGAGTTGTAAGATGACTCCAGGTCAAAGTGCAGCTGTCGGGCTTGCTGCTCGGTCAACTCATCCGCAGCCCCCATCTTCGAGAGCCTCCCGATCCACTCCTTCATCTTCATCTTCCCCTCGAAATCTTGCGGCAATATAGAAAGCTTATTGAGAGAACCCGACAGGTCAGACAGCAAAGGGTGCACCTGGTCAACTGCCACCATGTTCAGCTTAAGGGAATCCATGGCCGTGATGAAGTTCTGCACGCACTCAGCCACGGTGGCTGCTGATGTGGCGGCTGACGAGGCGGCGGCAGCCCGGTGCTCGACTGTGGCGGGCACGCCGGAGGTGACGAGGCGGTTGAGAGCGGCCGGGCAGTCCATTTTGTACGTATCGTGAAAGCGTTCGATGCTCGGGATTATATCTTTGAGAGTCGTCGAGAGGGTTTTGAAGTGGGCTATTAGTTTGTGGCATTCGGATTCGTATTCAGATGGGGTTATGATGTCACGAACGTAGGCCTTCTCGAGCTTCTCGGTAGCTTTGATGATGGCGAAGAGCTCGGCGAAATTCTCGTACATTTCTCTCTCTCGCTTGTCGTTCCATAGCTTGACCTCCATCTTTTTTTTCCCTTTTCTTTTTTCTTTATGTTCCTTTCTTTTCTAATATATATTTTTTGGAGAAGAAGACAGGACACGCGCAGAGAGAACCAAGAAGAAACCTTTAGGCCTGCAACAGAACAAAAAAAGAAAAACAAAAATCGAATTGTTGAATTCGAAATCTGCTCGTGGAGAAACAAAATTACTGAAACAAATCTGAGGGAAAAAAGATAACCTAATTTCTACAGTTGCAATTAAACAAATACATAAACCAGTCAGAACCATTAATCCACAACAACAAATCAAGTTACAGAAAAGGGGTAAATGCTGTCTGAGGAACCCTAATTTCATAACAAAAAGGGCAAAGAATAACAATCACAGAAAACCCACATAAGTAAACCGCAATTAGCAATCAGACGAACAATAAACCTCAAAAAACCGGCATATGCGACGCGAACGGAGATCAAATCACATACGGGACGAAGAAGAAGGAGAAAATAAGAAAGATTTAACAACTTGATTATATATAAAAGTGTATATGAGAGAGAGAGAGAGAGAGAGAGAGAGAGAGAGAGAGAGAAGCACTTACAGAAAGAGAGGAAGACGCGGCTTTGCTTTGAATTTAGGGAAGATTGTTGCAGGTTTGTACAAAGTCTGAGCTTGCGTTGCGTGTTTGCTGTTTATTAGTGTTTACTACTTTTTTTTTCTATTTATTTAACGTTTGAGTCAAATAATATTCATATTTTGTTTTCTGCCCCACATTTTATTTCTCTTATCTCTCTTGCCCTTGTTTCACAATTAATTAAAAAATAAAAAATAAAAGAGAGATTTTTAATATAAAATTGAAAGATAGGTAATTTATCAAATCGGGACTTAAAGTCTACATCCCAAGTTCCTATGATCAATTCCAGGCTCGATATAATTGACCTCACAAGACTCAAGCTCTTGCACGAGGGCCAATTCTCAAGATATTCTTCTGTCATTTGCTAGGGATATTGACACGGACAGCATCCTACACACGAACGATCTTACATTATCACTTCCGGATTCCAGTCCGGCAGATAGGCAAGCAAAAGCTTCCTAATATTTTTTTTTTCTCAATTTAAAACCTAAATGTCATAAAACTATCAAATTAAGTCTTATGATTAATAAAACTCATAACACCATTAAATTGATAGTGAGTTTAAAGTTTTAAAACACCAAATTTGTTAAGTAAAAAAAAAATGAAGAAAAGTAAGGAAAATACGAGATTGTTGAGGAAATTAAGGAAAGTATGAAGTTCTTGCTCGGTTTCTTGCTGTCATCTAATTCTTCTTCTTTTTCTTTTGAAATCTTATACAAATGTTTACTTATTATTTTGTGTGAGTAAACATCAATTTTGTCTTTTTATTTTAACTCTCAATTTAATGGTGTTATAGATTTTGTTAATTCTAGGACTTGATTTGATAGTTTTATAACATTTAAGTCTCGAATTGAGAAAAAAAAATCTTGTAGGCCCCGATTTGATAGTTTACTCATCTTTCGGGTCTTGTATTGAAAAAACTCAAAAAAAAAGCCTCTTTTAAATGTCCATTTTTTAATGGTGGTTTGCAGTTCCTATATAGTGTGATAAATAATAATATGATGTACTAGTGGCATGTAGCTTAATAAAAATAGAATTTTATCACCAGTGTGTATCATAAAAATTAATTTGTGTTTGTAAATAATAAAGATATAGAAGAGTCAGAATATATAAATGTTAATTGAATTAGTTAGATAATCCTCTCTATATATAATTCCCGAATGCGCTGAGCCTACGTGGCTGCTTCTGGTGGTTCGGAATCTTACTTGGTAAAGAATCATGCTTCGTAATTAGGTTTGGACAAATAATATTGATATATTAATAATTAATAATCTATGTTTGGACATTCCATAAATATTAATTAGCTAACTTAGGTATTTTAATATTACTTGTACTAATATAACCTTTTAATTCCTTGTAATTTTACATAGTAAGACACCAAATGACTAATATATCCCTGATTTTTTATTTGTTTCCATCAATTAGTTATTGAATTGTAAATGTATTTTAAAAATTGATAACTTTTGTATTTCTTATCGGTTTTACATATATAATATATCAAATTAATCATCTTTTGATGATCTTCGTTTTGACATCCATATTACATATATGAAATAAATATATTATATTTATCTTTATAATAATAAAAAATAATAATATTTATTAAAATTTATTAGAAAAAGAAAATTATTTCTTAATTGATATATTTATGTTTAATGTAGTTATATGTTGTAAGTTAAAAAAATTATTATAAAATAACATATGTAAGTTTGAACAAATAAAAAGTGTCATACTATATAATAATGTATATAATTTATAAAAGGTATTTAAATTTTCAATTACTTTTTCATTAATTTTAGATTTTAAGAAAAAAAAAATTAGCAAGCACCCGTGTAATACACGGGCGTTGTACTAGTACATCGTTGAATCTGAAAATAAACAATATTTTAAATAAACTAAAAATAAATTAACACCCACCTAAAAATTATATATGTATATTTGCAATATTATTTGTTTTTGGTTAGTGCAATAATTAATTTTTCTCAAAACAAAAATCAAATAAATTGGGCCTGGAATGTTCACAAGCAGAGGTAGAAGCCCACTAAGTAGTAGATCGGTATCAAATGCTTCACTAAATCATCATCTATATCTATATCTATATAATGGATCAATCCTTATTTCCATAATT